TATGTGGAGAGCTGCCCGAACGTGCTACGAGGGCCGATGAGCCGTGATTGTCCAGCGATGCCCGTTGCCGTTCCAACAATAGGAGAGCCGAGCGGGCTTGGAGGAACGTAGGCAACGGATCCTGGAATTGAAGAAAGGAAGTTTGAGCCTGAAGATCCTCCGGTAACCCTCGTAGCATCTGAAGAACGAGTTGGTGCTGTGATACCGGCGCATCAACATCGTCTAGCCAATCGGCGATGTTGAAGAGATTCTGACAGTAGGTAGCCATGGGGGTGTTGCCTTTGATGGTGGTGCGGAATTGGTGCTCGAGTTGCATGGCCCGAGCATGTTTGTTGTCATGGAAGAGATCGTGAATAACCTTCCAGAGAGAAGCTGCAGAGGTGGTGGAGGAGATGACAAGATCCGAGACTTCGTCGGTGATGGTAGAGAGAATCCAGCCCTGGAGGAGAGTGTCCAGTTGGAACCATTCATCGTCGTCTTTAGAGGTGGGGACGACGGAGCCATCGAGGTGCTGATGGAGATTGAAGCGCCGAACTAGGAGGAGAAACAATCGACTCCACTTTTTATAGTTGGGTTGTGAGAGGCTGAGTTGAATGGGAACGTGGAGTTTTACGATGGAGATGGTGGTGAAAGCAAGGTGGGGAGATTTGGAGGTGGTATCTTGAGATGTGATTACACTTTCTGCTTTATCGGCCATGGTGGATAGAGGGAGGGAGTTCGCCGGCAGAGAAGAGCAGCGAGAGAGAGAGAGATCGGCGTTGGGGAAGAGAGCCGAAGGAAGATGCGGCGCTGGGAATTTTAGGTTTAGGGTTTAATTGGCTCTGATACCATGTAGAAAGAATATTTTCATTGATGATTTGTGTTAATTACATGTGTATTTATACAAGAGATCTCAATCCTAATTATGGTAGGAGAGACATAGTAGGAAGGTAATACAATTATGGTAACACTATAATACAAGAATAATTAAATATAAATAATATATTTAACACTAAATATTGGGTGTTTTCCTTCCACGCCATAACCTAGCTGCAAATTGACATCAGAAATCAGCCATGTGTTCAGAACTTTAGTCCGGGCTTAATGCAAAAAACAGCCGTAAGACTTGAATTAAATGTATTAACTGAACAAATTTTCATTTGGAAAGAAATGAATAGCGGGTGGACAAAACACTCCCTCCAAACACTGCTTTCGGGACAAAGTCCAATAACAAGTGGGGTACATGCTAAGGACCATGCTACATTTACACCAAAAAATGTACATATAGCTTAATCCAAAATCTAAAGTGTTTCCCCAAAAAATACATTACAAAGCACATAAATAATTACAAAGAGTTTCACAAAAATAAAAGACCCCTAAATTCAACTTCATAAATAAAATACATCATCTTCTTCTGACTCCTCATCATCTTCCTCAGCACCTCCCCTCCTTTCTCTCTTCTGTCTTTGAATTCTAACAGAGCATCAGAATCCTGTGTACAAACAAGAGCAGAAACCATATATATTCCCAGACAGTGACTGTAGGTATTATGTAAATTCACAGAGGTTAAAAGTCAGTGAATATATTACCTTCTTTTTTTGCAAATCACGAAACATATTTCACAGACAATAATCTTATATGAAGTTCAAATATTTCACGAAACATATTTCACAGAAATCAATTTTTTTAAAAAGAAGTAAATACTTGAGTATATCATAAACTGGATCCTTGAACTGCCCATGATTATTACTTTTTAAACCATGGTTAGGGCATATGGTCTTTGATACTTCAGAACTGTCCGAAAATCATTAATTACTACGGAGTATTTACTAAAGATGCTAAAATTCCAATGTAGAATAAGATCCAAGATCTGAACCCCCTAGGGTTTATATCAATTTTAGAAACAGAGAGATCAAGAAAGAGACCAAGGAAAGGGAAGTTAGCGTCAGTAAGTACTTGTTCAGAGGGGTGGGCCTGCCGGCGCTGGAGCTGGAGGGGTGGGCCTGCCGGCGCTGGAGCTGGAGGGGTGGGCCTGCCGGCGCTGGAGCTGGAGGGGTGGGCCTGCCAGCGCTGCTATGCTCTCGACGGAGAAGAAGGACGTGGAATTGGAGTTGTCCGAATTCTGTCACTTGTGGAGGTTGAAGTTGGAGAAAGGAGATTTGGGAATTTTGGGGAAGAAGGCGGGAGAGGAAAAGACTAAGAAAAAAGGAAAATTGAAAAAAAAAATTAAATATATTGGGTAGCATGCTTGGAGGCACACGTGGTGTCTCTTTAGCATTCTCCTTTTCCATTTTCAAGAAGGAAAATGTTAGGGTGCCACCACATGGGTGCCACCATGAGTGCACCTATGAGACAAACACAAACGATAATGATCGCATGGAAGATCATGGGTAATCCCATTTCCTTCGAGAAACGCGTCTCATTTACCCATTTCCTTCGATTCACCTTTATGGGTAATCACATCCACTTATCCGCCTTCTCCATCCCGTCATCCCTAATTTCACAGTTTACAAAGCCTCTATCGAACGGACTGATGTTCCTAGATAGGGAGTAGCTCCGGAATCCAACAGTTGAGAAAGTCCCTATCGAGCACCCTATGAAATGGGTTCAATTGATGCGCCCACTCGAGCTGAGAACGGTGCTGTGAGTCCAGTTCTCAACGGCGCTGCCCATGGCCAGATCGCCGGAAACGGAGGTGTCCAGTCCCCCGCGGTGGAATCCAACGGAGTCTCAACAGAGAACGAGATCTTGAAAAGGTGGAAGTCGAACATGCTACCGCTTGAAGTGGGAACGCGTGTGATGTGCCGCTGGAGAGATGGCAAGTATCACCCCGTGAAAGTCATCGAACGTAGGAAAGTACCCTCAGGCGGAAACAATGACTACGAATACTACGTTCACTACACAGAATGTAAGTAATTTGTCTTTTTTTCATTTGGCAATTTTGAAAGTTCTTAATGAGGGATATTGCACCCGTTAAACAATGACATTGCTTATTCAATTGGCTAAGGCTTCCTAGCTATTCCCTCTCCTGTCAATCTGCATGTTTGAAAATTAAGGTTTTGAAAATGAAGTCCTATTGCTCGTGAATAAGATAAGGCATTTTATGGCTATTAGTGTACATACTGTACATTTTTTGAGTTGTTTTGTTGTATTTTGTTGGCTCCTGTCTCTCTTTTAGCTACTTGTGATATTTTTGTTGAAGTAATACATTTTAATAATTAGGTTTGTTTTTAAATGAGTACTGAGTGAGTGACTGTTTTAATAACTCTATCCATTTGCTCTTTGGATGGCACAATACTGTTACTGCAGTTTAGTTTTATGGGTTCATTTGTCCATGTCCCAATGGAATGGTGGAAAGAAGGCCCCAACCCAACAAAAAGAAGTTTAGTGTACTTTTGAACATATATTTTCATTACTATATTTAAAATTCAATGCATAATGGAAGAAATACTAAATGAGAATGCCATGAACCACTATGCTTTTTTAGATATAGTTTCATGAGCACAAACTAATCATGAATGCTTTACATGGTTTGTAAATGCAAAACCATTAACGACAATAATCATAATAAGGTCAATATGGTTTTTGTAACATTAGTGATTTTGAATAGGTTTTCTTGTGATGCTATTGGTTTCAAATAGGTTTTCTTGTGACATTAATATCTAAAATATCATATAAAATTTAACCCTCTAAATTCTGTGACCTAAAATAGGGTTCGATCTTGTTACCCTAGATGACCGACCTTGCGTGAATGCGTGGATAACATGAGAAACTTTTGACCTTTGAGTGATTGATTTTTTTTAAATTCCAAACTGTTCCAACTGGTTTAAGCTTGGAAAGAGAAGGATCCCAGATCCTTAATTGAAGTATATATGTATGCTATTTATGCCCACAGTTTACAGTCTTCTCCTTAGGCAGGCTATCTCAATTGCTAGGATGCTATTTTGCAAGGTACAGTCTTAGAGAAATACACTATAATCAACTACCATTGATTATACTTTACTAGAATGACGGTAAAGTCAATTTATCATTCATATAGTATTCCAATCACGATGAACACCTTTTTTATATTGATTTTGAAGACGACTCTGTTACTTTTACATGATTTTTGGTTCATAAAATTTAAATTCTACAATTATGAATAAAATTCCATGAGGAATGAAATAAAGGAGGGATATCAGATATGAACTCTATTGTTTAAAAAATTAACAAAAGGATGGTGTTAAATGATTTGGTTAGTTTAGGGAGGGAAAAAGGAATATATACAGTAAAATGACTAAAATTGCACAAAAATATCGCATATATGATATACTCTTATCAATTAGTATTGAATAATAAACATACATATAAGCAGTAAATAGATGAAATGGATGAGAAGATAATTGGATTGATTCACATCCAATAAAAGCGATGAGTTTTGGTACCTTGGATCCATCACCTCTGCCACTTGGAGCAGCTTGGGCAAAGTGGGGCGAGCTTCTTGTGTCCTTTGTGACAAGCGCATATCAACCAACTTAAAAAGAAAGTTTTTATCATACAATGGTTAGACCGGCTACGTTGTATGAAGCAAAGTGTGGAGCCGTTGAGTGGTGAAGAAAACTCACGTTTGACTACTCCAAGTGGCAAAGATGAGGATGCTAAGGTAGAATGAAGTTATATGGGGATTGGGGGTAGGATGAGAGTGGTCTCTATGGAGGATAAACTGGCTGCCGAAAACTATATTGAGATGGTTTGAGTACGTGATGAGGAGAAGTACAAATGCCCTTGCCCCTTGCTAGGAAGCGCAAAAGGCTTATGGTGGGAAAGGGGGGGGTGTGAGGATTGTTAATGACTTCAGGAATTTATAGAGGTGGCTGGGTTGACCTTTGGGGCTTAGTATGTGCTTCATGCAGGTGTGTGTCTATGTCTTAGCCTGTAGCTTCTGCATATGTGTTCTGTGACTGAGCTTTTTTTAGTTTCTAACTTGTACCCTTGGTCTGTGCTCTTAATTTGTTTTTGCTACTTTTGTTTCTTGTTCTGCTCCTTTATTTTGAGCCAGGGGTTCAACGGCCAATCTATTTTTCAACCATAGTTATGAAAGGCGAGCGCCATACGCACCTATGGCGTTCATGGTGCTGTGGCGAGGGTATGGTGCCTGAAATAGGCTGACAATGGTGAGGTGCTGGAGGCTTTGAACGGCGTTCACCAATTTCGCTGCAACTTATGGCGAATGGCATTCACAACTCTAGCCTTGACGATGTCGGTCTATTTTTTTCACTGTTCCCCTTAATCGAATGGTAGTAATTTAATTGGGCTTGACCTCGTTTGTAATTAATCTGATCCATTACCGTAAGCCAATCGTTTTCCCTATCAATCGCCATAGCAGTCTTCCACTCCCGATTTTCTCTTCCAAATTTTAATCTTCCATCGATTCACCTTCCCAGCTGAGACGCTGCTCCAATCGCTTTTCCAGAATCGCCCACGGGTCGGATCTCCTCCAGCACTCCAACAGTCAGCACAACAGCGTCAGGTCACAAAAATTTAGCACATTATTCTTATTTATTTTTATTTGTGTTTTATTCAATTAAGTATATTTTCAAATTGTGTATTATTCTTTCAATTTAGAAAATAATAATTTTCACATCGACGACATTATTTATTGTGTATTATGATTTAATATATATTCCGTATATTATATTGTCTATTATTGTATAACAGTTCTCCCCCAAGCCCCATTGGAAGGTACGTCCTCCACTAGCTCCACAAGATGTAGTAATGATCCGGCTTGTTTTTGTTTTCCTTTGACAATTATATACTGTTCAAGACGTTATGATATGCCATGCATTTTATATGTATGTATGTATGTATGTATGTATGTATGTATGTATGTATGTATGCATGCATGCATGCATGCATGCATGCATGCATGCATGCATGCATGCATGCATGCATGCATGGATGGATGGATGGATGGATGGATGGATGGATGGATGGATGGATGGATGGATGGATGGATGGATGGAA